GGTACAATGTGAAGCACAATCAAGACTTACGTTTGACAAGCAAAAATTCCCGAAATTCCTGAGGATTTGTGAATTCCGGTGGGTTTGGCAACGATGGACCGAAGATCGGAACAGATTCCTCGGCAAATACGTTTAATCTGATCAGAGAAAGTGAGATTCATGTCAGGATCGATTGATTGGGTGAATGGAATGAAAACGTGACAGGGTACGAACTTACCGATAGGTAGAGGTTTCTTTACAGTAGGTAACAATTGCAAAAATATCTGTCAGAAAAAAGTAGGTTAAGGCACTGCGGATTTAATACGTTCAAATTATTCCTTAAATCAGTCTCCACTTTTTACTACTCGCACCCAAATAATCTCGTTACTACTTAGCGGTTGGATGAAATGTTTTCCACACAAACAGATTAGAGAGGCGAGCTCTTGCATCGGCTTCTCTCTACGTTGCTGGGCTTCCAGAGTAATTACCTCCTATTCTTCTACTATCCGATGATCATCAGGTTGTCTGAGACTGTTCACGGGATTCCAGGGACTCTGTGACTGGTAGCGGTAGCCAAGGAGAGGTGAAGATGATGCCGAATAGGTAGCACAAACGAGTTGTGAGTGGCCCTGATCGCACAAAGCTTAGACGGAAAAAGGTGTGAAAAGGATACGTGTGAAATGCGTTTTCATCATCGAAGGCATCCAGCTGGGGATGGCGTCTGGACCGACACCGTCCACAAAAATTATGTTCACAATGTCGTTTCCCACGTGACGCTTTCGTTCAATCTGTTGGAGGTGGTGATACAATTAGACCGAGAAAACAGACGGTGAATAGCTGTGGTGAGGTGGACGAATGGTACGAATTGAATGTGTGGGAATACTTGTTTGGAAAGAAGAAAAACACATTTGAATCGAATGTGGATAGACTGATTTATATATTATTTTCCCTTCTGTTCCACTTTTCTGTCTCTGCTGTGTGACACTTGCGCCTGAGAAAACTGGNATCAAAATACTGCCATCCGTTTGTTTCAAAGACAACAAAGTTGAGACTGTGTCCGATTTCCTTCAATATTAGCAGTTTGTTCGGTAGTGGTTGACAACAGATTGGAGTTAGCATCAAAAGCTTGTAATAACCGGGTGCACAGGTACAAAGTCAAAGATGAAATTATTATAAAACAGTGCTCTTTTCTTAGTCTGTCCTGATGGGATACTGTGGACGAGGCAGATCTATCTATCTATCTATCTATCTATCTATCTATCTATCTATCTATCTATCTATCTATCTTAGCGATCTGTCGGTGTCTATCTATCTATCTATCTATCTATCTATCTATCTATCTATCTACGTATCTATCAATCTATCGACTTATATTTCTATCTATCATTCTATCTATCTCTCATTGGATCCGTGTCTATTTATCTATCTATCTATCTATCTATCTATCTATCTATCTATCTATCTATTTAGACTATCTGTCTATCTATATATTTTTTTAAATTTTTCTATTCCCTCATATAGCCAAGACTTTATCATGTTATGGTTACTCAAACAGATTACTCTAATCCATTGTCTTCATTTGAAATGGATTTTCGTTCCTATATGGTGACACTTCTAAAATAAGACAAAACTGGGTATGCTCAAATTTTGAGTACAACCTTCTTTGAAATGTATGGCCGTTTTTTAGAGTCCAAAGCACCCATGTTGTCATAGTAGTGCAGAACCTAGAAACCCCCTTTATTCGTTTGATTTCTTCCCTTTTTTTCTGTATTACATTGAACGCTATGTTGGTGCATAAATATTAAACAATGACGTCGGAAAACCCTGAGTTTATGTTCCAAGTTTCGGAAGACGAACATTTAGAGCAACCCACCTGGCACTTCCTATCGCAGTACACCTAAAAGACACAAACAACCCTTGCACTCATGGTCTGTCACCTTCATAAGCTCCAAGTGATTTCCGCTTCAACCAATCTTTTCTGACTGTGGCTCGATTGTTGAACGTGCGTGGTCCGAGATCAGTTTTGTCATATCCTTTCGGTTGCACAATGAACGTCATTGTTTCTATTCCCCAATGGTTGATCTACGCGAAACAGAAATTATCCACATATGATCTTGGCGAATGTGATTCTCAGGATGCGAAAACCAATTGATTGCTTTAACCTAGACGGAACTGCAAAGATTGTTTACAATGTAATAGTGGAAGGCGGAAAAACCTAGGCACACTTGGTGCCTATTTGTTATGTTCATTTCAATCGATCAGTTTATTACTTTAAAAAATATGATGACTTATGCTATATTTCCAGGGGGTTCGGGGTGGACTCAAAATGAAAAGAAAAGTTACTGCAACACCGTTTACCTGTTGTCTGTTTTCTGTCGAGAAAGGAAGAAGAGTGGATACATGAAACATGATTTCATGGCCTTCGTAAACCGTATAGACCGAATCAATCCCAGTTGTATTGCCTAAAATGAAGTAATATCAAATGAAAACAAGAGTACACTTAAATGGGTTTAAATGAGGCAAATCGGTAAACGTTTTAATGAACAAAGCATTCTAGATGTAGATCAGCCTGAGTAATAATGAATTCTTCGTACAAGGCGATTCTTCATGGAATGCGACTGACGGATACAAAGAACCCTAACTTGTTGTACAGAAGCTGTCCGAATTTTGGACAGCTTCACTCCATACCATGATCCTTGTTTTTCTCAAAATTGGTTGCCAAGCGAAAACCGGACCAGCTGATTGTAAACCGTTGTGAATCACGTGAGCGTAGAAACCGAGAAGAATGGTACTCTTTATTGGGGGAAAATATCATCCACAACTGGCACATACCACAAATAAAATGGATCCAAATTGACTCCCAGGTAAACAAAAGAAAAAAATAATAAAACAAATCAGCTTTAGTGATTCCACTGATCTGATTGACTGACGGGAATACGAGATGAAAAAAAAAACATTTACCTATTGAGTAGTGAATCGATATGTGAAAATTTGTTACTTGAAAAGAAAAATCTTCCTGATGAAGTAACAAAAGTTGAATGAATTGATTCACGTATCCCATATCTAACAGTCTGTCGCCTCACTCTCCTGCCGTTAAGTCATCAACCTTTTGAGATGCTACGGTAACTTTTGGCGCAATCTGAGCTTAGACTAGAAAGTTATGAAGCAAATGCCACTTACAAAACCATCGGCCTAACAGACAATCTGAGTCCAGAACTCACTGGTTAAACACAAGCACTTGTCAATCAGCCAGCTGATCAGCCAGCTTCTGAAGGGAAGTCCGCAAGGGGATTCAAATAGTTTCCTTTGTCCCTTGACAGGAAAGCGTGTTGTTTCAACACATCCATGCACTTTATTTTGTAAAACTTTCGATAGTTACAGATGGTTTGGGTTGTTCTAAAGATAGACAATTAGAGAGTTTATCTGTTTTGAATTTTCTGGAGGTAACCTCAAATGCAATGATGATCTCAGTGTCTAACCGAATTGTTGATGTTTATTGATCCTATTAAGTCTGCTTTTCGACGAACTGAGAGTATACCTTGCTTGGATCACATTTTTTCCACTTGTTGACGTTAGTATATAACATAAATCACACGATATTGTTCATAATTATGAGTTACAATTCAGCATTGTTTGATACATTTGGAGCTCAATATAGAATTGAATTTTTGGCTCTGCACCACTTGTCCTCTATCGATCACAATGAGCGCCGAAAATTCTAGGATAAAGCAAAACAGAACCTGGCAACTAATCGAGTAGGTCTGACTCAATCATAAGATCGACTTACTTTTGGTGTCAAGTCCACCTTTGAATCGATCCCAGGATTTAAGATGTATACGATCACCAAGCAGACTGATAAATTCATTGAATTCATCACTACCGTTCTCTGCAAAAGAGGGAGCAATGGAACGATCAGCCCCAAAACATTCAAGGCTGGGATTACTTCAGTCAAAAAAGACCACGTAATACTTTAACCTCACGTGGCAACAATGTTTGAATCCATGAAATATTCAAAAACATCATATAAACATAAACATGGCACTTCATGATTAACTTTATAGTGCTTTAATGTGTCTGCAGGGACCGCAATTAAACATCCGCGATCTGTTTTGCGGTGAAGCGGAACGCGTCCTTCGATTGGCTGCGCTACACTCTCGTGCTTGTTCGTCACGTTGGAATTTATCGTGCGCCTCATCCATATACCGGTGCTATTCATGTCCAGGATCTAAAAATATTCTCGTCAGGACATGCTACGACTAAAAACTGTGAATTCTGTGCTACCCGCCGATTGCTTGCTTCGTGATAGTCATAAAAGTCCTTGGATCAAAACACGCAGACGGGTCGGATGGCAGACTGTACTAACTTACACTCCTCCTGACAAGATGACTGTGCCATTGGTCAGCACTAACGTTCGCTCACTATTCACAAATATATCGGATTTAACCTCTATTCTGAACT